AAGCAACTTTTTGATTTTTTATTTTAAAATAATTAAATTTTGGCTAGTAGTCGATAGCATCCATTATTTTTGATAGTAGCTGCACATCTACGAGGCATTGAATCTATAACACGCTCAATTTGATCCTTTGGTATGCTTTCCCAGGCACCCCGAATTCTTTGGAAAATGTTGTGCTTATTTGTTTCCGAATCTCGCTTGATCTTCCTGTCTACGATACTCCAAAGGTTTTCTATGGAGTGTAGGTCAGGTGATTGTGCCGGCCATGACAAAACATCGATTTTTGACTCCCGCAATATTTGACAAGTTTTGATGCAAGTTTGAGATCATTGTCATGCTTAAACACCCAAATGAGCCGAATATTTTACTCAGCGTAAGGGAATCACGTGATATCCAACACATCTTTGTAAACAAACCGATCCATAACTTCCTTTATTTCATGGATCCATAGAAAGTCCATAGAAAGAAAAACAGCGCCACGCCTTTTTTGACCCTCCCTTATACTTCACTGTAGTTTTGCAACACTGCGGCTTGAGTCTTTCATTTTTTGGTCTTCTCACCGTAAAATTTTTCACGTCTGAGCTTTTAATATTAAACGTAGACTCATCCCAGATATAATATTTTTGCATTGAGTTGGATTCCAATTAATATTTTCGTTTCCGAAAGCCTTTTTGATTTTTTCAGATATAAATGGCTTTTTTGATGCCTTATGGGCATGCAGACCAGCTACCACTACTAGTCTACGCACTGATCTCGAGCTTATATCCAATGATTGCTCTCTCACCAATCCAGTTGAACTCTTAAATGGTTGTTTTTTTATCTCTCACAATTTATTGATCAGTACGGGCTGAAGTTTTTCACGGCCTTCATCCTTTATAGACTGTTACTACTGATCCAGTTTCATAAAACCGACTTAGTATAGAGACATTTTTATGAAATATTTCTTTTAAATCATTTTCTGTGATATGTTGTTTTCATAGTCACTGATAATTTGTTGTTTTATTCATGTACTGTTTTTGCTTCTAACTATTTTTTAACTTTTTTTGGGCAGTACTTACAAAACGAAAAGAAAAACACATGATGTTGTAAAAAACTTCTCAAAAAGGATCTATGACTTGCGAAATTGTCGAAGGAAGCAAAAAACGATAAATATAACGGTAAAAAACAACTGAAATTGCAGCGGTCATATGAATGTCCGAGCCAAAATCGGGTTCATTGAATTTACTATACATTATTTTTTGTATAAAAAAGAATTTTGGTTTTTTGTTTTAGGTTTTTAAAAAGTGAATAAAATGCCTTGAAACGGATCGAGAGCGGAGATTGTATGGCCTCATACAATAAAACACCAGATGTTGAATTTACGAAGACAATACTTCACTTTATTCCTTTAGTTTAGCGATAGAAGGGCCTTGTGCAATATTATTGTAGGGTTGCTTTTAATACTACTATTAAAAAAAATTATGTACAGGGTTGTGTTTTGGGTAGTTAACTTATAAAATTCAAATATGAGTTGTATTCATAATAGGTAGGTGGAAATGAAATATTTACAGATGAAATTCATTGATTAGAATAAAATAAAATAGAAATAGGTCATAAAATAATGTTGTTCCGTTTCAACCTAATTTAGAACGAGAAAAACTTTCTCATTTTCTTAATTTTTAAAAAAGTTACAGTTGCTTTAGTTTTGGCCACCAGTGTATGTGCACACATATGTACATTTTAAAATGTCGGAGTATTGAATATTTTCATATCGATGCCACATACTGCTTCCTTGCGGAGGGTTTCAATTGTATTTCTTTAAAAATTTTTGTAACATAATCTGTGTCGGTGTGGCAATTTTCAGTTCTTTCATTTATTGATCCGGTTTATGGTCATTTAATAAATTTGCCAATACCACAATTCATTAATTCCAGATGGACTAACTGATCTATCGACTTATTTAAACCACGGTCACTTGTCAGGTTAGTTGTTGTTTTCCTTCCATTTTCCAAATGTGGCAATTTGTACGATTTTCGTTCATTAATTTTCTTCTCAACTCTAATTCTATGTACTCTTTTTCTGTATAAGTTGGAATTTTATTCTATTTTTTTTAAATAAACACTTTAAATGTTTCATATTTATTCATTTGCATGTTTCAAACTTCATATATACATACATATATTTTGCATGTTTTATTTAATTTTCTTAAATGGAATTTGGTCAATAAAATGCAAAAGAGTTGGAAATATTAAAACATACAACAAATAATATCACAGTCTATATATATTGAAAATTTAATACTGGATATAATGACAACATTATGTAAAGGACGCTGTAGTCATATCGTTTATCGTCAGATCACCTTTAATTATTAAGTTCCGTTACATGGGGGCTATGTTGAAAAATTATCAAATTGCTGGATACAATGACAACAATTTTGAACGACGTTATGGTCATATCGTTTATTTTCAACCTTTAATTTTGAAGTTCCATTACATGGAGGATTATTTATTTTATTTTTTTAATTGTTTTAAAGTAGTTAATCTACTTAAAAAGTACTCGGAATATAAAACTACATCTGATTAAGTCGAATCCTGGTGCTAAACACATAAAAATACTGGCACCGTGGTATTGGAGCTATACCAGATAGTGGCCATACATTGAATAATTTGTACGAGGAGTTATACTTTCACTGAGAATCAGCATTCTCAAATTGCAGCTGACTTGGTTGGGGGAGCTTTACCATAAAGTGGAACCATACCCCCTCAGTCATATGGCTAGAGAGGGTATATATCACTTGATAGGGTCAAAACGTACCTAGTCGAAATATCGGTTTTAGAGCCTAGGTGTATTTGGACCAAATCCGTTTCAGGATATTTAGAGTCGATTTAGCGGTGTCCGCCTGACCGTCTGTCTGGCTGACTGGTGCGCATGATAACTCTCGAAGGGTGTATCCGAATGGGTCCAAACTCGGTACATCACAATAGTTTTGTCAAACTTAAATCGAGTTCGAAGATAGGCAATATCGGTACACTCCTTCTGGTACCTCCCAATATTTTTATAAACCAAAGATCTGGTGTTAAGATGAAATATATCGGTCCACTACTTCTACTTCTGGTACCTCCTATAAAACGCGAGATTAACGTCCGATTCCATTTAGACTTGGAACATCTGAATATTTCTATCAACGCAGGATTTGTTATAAAAACGGTAGAGATCGAACCATTTCTTCTGGTACCTCGCCCACAAAGGATCAAAGTTTTGAATAACTAAAACGTTTTTAAAATCCGAAATAAGCATCAGGTTCTCTTTATATTTTACACATCCAGTTATTTCCACTAACAAAAGATCTGTTGTGAATATGGGGTATATCGGTCCACTCCTTCTAGTACCTCCCCCATCAAACAACATCAACACAAGATCTGTTATAAAGATGGTAAAAATCGGACCATATATATATATACAAACCCCTCTGGTACCTCACCCACAAAGGGTAACATTTTTCAATACTTTTATCTGTCATAACTTGCGAAACAAGTCAGCGATTTCTTATGACTTGCTACATGTAAATATTTCTCTCAAAAAGAAATATGAGATGAATACAGCATTTATGATTTCGCATAAAATTGGATAAACAGGGTGAGATAAAAAAAAACTGCAACAAAGTCAAACGCCATAATTTTTACATTTTTTTTTAAATTTTATTGAATGAAAAAAATGTCGGAAAAAGCATCAAATTGTAGAATAAGTATAGATTTGTTGGAATTGGTCACCTTTGTCACGATTTATGGCCTTCAATAGGCCAATGAAGCCGTCACACGCTGCCCAAATGTTGCTCTGAGGCATTTCGGCCCATTCACGGCGACGCGCTTGCTTAAGGTGATCGACACTTTGCCATTTTAGTGCCAACCTTGCTTTCCAAAATACTACAGACACAATAGTCCAACGGATTGGTATCCGGAGATTTTGGTGGCCATTGTGCGCTGGAAATGAAGTGAGGAACCATTTGTAACCATTCTTGGGAGAAAACCAAATTCGTCAGTTCACCACTTTCGGCCACTTTCGAAGCAACTCTTTAGCTCTCTTGAGTCTATTTTCTTTCTGTTGCGGTAAAAGAGCTTATACTTTAATATTTGTCGAATGGAATATTTCGATGTGTCAGCCCACGAGCCTTTTTCGGCCACTGCGACGCGGGTTTCGATCAAATCGCACCTTTACTTATCGAACCATTTCTGCTGATGTTGCTATTTCCTTCCATCCACTTCCTTGACGTTGGCCACGTGATAATAGTATCACGGTAACGAGCCATGGTACGAGACACAAAAGATTTATTCACATTTAAATACTGGAGTGCTCTAACTATGGCCACTATCACGAAAAACTTTTTTTTCCAGAAAATTCTCACCAAAATGCTTTTGTACGCTTGTAAACAATATAATGAGCTGTTATTAGAATAATTTTAACAGCTGTCGGACGAGTGGCTTAGATATGACAGCAGTCTGAAATTGGTTGCAGTTTTTTGATCTCATCCTGTAAATATTCTATTTTATTTTAATTTTGCCCATATCAATATTTTTTTCTGTATTATATATATATATATATATATATATATATATATATATATATATATATATATATATATATATATATATATATACATATATATAGCGGTTCTGTACGAAGTGGACAATATTGGCACATTCATTTGGAATCTACTTGATAGAAGGTCAACAATTTGAATAATCATAACACTAATCAAAATATATTTAAATTGGCTAAGGGTTACATCTGTCGGCAAAACCGACTGATACTTTTTTGCTTGTTATGTGTAATATTTGCTACCATATTGCGGATTTATTCTTCTTCTTATATTCTAAGCCAAGTATCCACGTTTTCAGACTCCTTTCTCTCATTTTGAGTTTTTTAAAAAAAATACATATACAAAAATGTTGTAATTTGTTTATTAAAAAATTTTGCCATCTATTCTAATATGCAACAACCATTATTTTCTTTTCTCATTGCAGATAATGAAATGCGCGATTTGAGTGTAACTTTCTATGGCAGTGCATCCTCTCGTAAAATGATTGATGACATCTGTTTAATTCCAGTCATATTACTTGTGGCATATGTGCGGTTTTTGGCCAACTAAATTCCGCCAATTACAAAATTTGAATATAAATGCTTACATAAAAGAAATAAAAAACAAATTCATATATAGAATAGCATTTGCATTTTTTACATTCACTCGTATTCACACATATTTTTTCCGTTTTTCATACATTTTGATATGCATTCATTCATATATATATTTATTAGACAAAATTGGAAAAACAGAAAAGACAGCAACAAAACTCAAATCATTTTACAATCATTATAACCCCCTCAGAAAAAATGATAACAGAAAAATACAAATAAAATTTCATATTCATGTTAAGTATAATATTTGAAGAAAGAAAAAAAAACAACAACCCAACAAACATCATGAACCATACATAACTGAATAATATACAAATACTAAAAAAAAAATTAAATCTCCAAACAAAAAAAAAAAAAAAACATACAAAAATATATAAAATGTCTATATAAAATTAAATAAATATAAAAATACATAAAAAAACGTGTATTCATATATAAGGTGTGTCAAAGTGGAAAGATGAAAGTGCAATGCATTCCATATAAAATACTTTTAAAAGAATTTAGATATTTTATAGAAAAAAAAATTTTGTCGGTCTTCTCCAAATGCAGGTTTATTATCATTTTATTCATTCAAAACTAATGTCATCAAAATTATTTTGGGAAATATAAATTAAATTTAATACAAAATATTTCCTTTTTTACAAGATTTGAACTTCTATGTGCCCTTAGTAATAAGGCTTTATATTGAAATAACGATTTTAGACCCTAGGTTTCCAAATCCAAATCCAAATCAGGATATTGGGAGTCGATCTAGTGGTGGCTCTCCGACCATCTGTCTGGCTGGTGCCCACGACAACTCTCAAAGTGAGTATCCGATTTGGTTCAAACTTGTTGCATCGTAATACAGGGTGAGATAAAAACAACTGCAACAAAGTCAAATTCCCTAGTTCTACATATTTTTTTACCTTTTATTGAATGAAAACAAAAAATGTCGGACATTGCATAACATTTTAGAATAAATTTAAATTTGTTCGAATTGGTCACCTTTGGCACGAATTATGGTCTTCAAACTTCAAATGAAACAGTCACACGCTGCCCGAATGTTGCTCTGCGGAATTTTGGCATGTTCCCGGCGATGCGCTTGCTTGAGGTGATCGACGCTTTGGCATTTTTTAGTGCCAACCTTGCTTTCCAAAATACTCCACTCACAATAGTCCCAGGGATTGGTATCCGGAGATTTTGGTGGCCATTGTGCGCTGGAAATGAAGCGAGGAACCTCATTTTGTAACCAATCTTGGGTGGGGCGTGCTGAGTGCGATGGTGCTGAGTCCTATTGACATGTCCAAGGCTTAAATACACCCTCCAGAATATTTTCACGATAATATTCGGCATTTATTCTGATGCCACGGCCAAGCGAAGCAACTCTTTTGCTGTTTTGGGTCTATTTTACGGTGTATGTTCTTGCACTTTTTGAAATTTCAATGGCTCCCAGAGCTCATTTTTCAATATTTGCCGAGTGGAATATTGCGTTATGATCAGCTCACGATAGCGATATGTTTCGGCCACTGCGGCGCGGGTTTCCATCACGTCGCTTCTTTACTTTTCGAACCATTTCTGCTGATGTTGCTGTTTTCTTCCGTCCACTTCCTTGACGTCGGGCTACGCTACCAGTATCCCGGTAAAGACCGATGGTACGAGAGACAAAAGATTTGTTCACATTTATTTATCACATCTAACGATGTGGTTTTCCAACCAAATATAAAGAAATCACACTATCACTCTTGAATTCCATAACTTTTTCCGAAAATTCTCACCAAAATGCTTTTGTATACTTGAAAACAATATAATGAGCTGTCACTGGAATAATTTTAACAGCTGTCGGACGAGTGGTTTAGAAATGACAGCAGTCTGAATTGAGTTGCAGTTTTTTCATCTCACCCTGTATTATAATTATTAAACTTACATCGATATCGGCAATAACGTTGCACTCCCTCTCCAAAGGGCAAACTTTTCAAAGAAGTTAATTTATGGTATAGATATTTAAAGGCTTTGAAAGTCCCAATATTTTTGTCCGTACTATGTTAGGTGTGAAAGTGGACTATATAGGCCGATTCCACCCAGTACCTTCCCAACAAAGGGTCTAATTTTGAATAATAATAAATCTCATAAAATGTAAAATAATTATCTGATTTTCTTCAAATTTCACACATCCCAATATTATTGTGAGCACAAGATCTGGTGTTAAGATGGGATATGTCGGACCACTCCTTCTGGTAAAAACGTTGAATGAAATTTATAAAACTCGAAATGGCAATTTGATCCCTTTTGAGCGCTTTACATCCCAATATTTTTATAATTATGTATAATTATTGGATTAAGACGAAGATCGTTTTTAATTTTTATATGATTTTTTTTTATAAAGAAATGGCTAATTGAGCAAATTAAGAAAAACTGAGCTTAACAGTTTCTCTGAAGTAGAGACATTAAGTCTTTACGTATTTACGACGTTAATTCTCATTGTTGTGTTTTTATTTTATCTATTATGCATTACATTATTTCTCATCCCACTGTGCTACACCCTATAATATACGAAAAAAAGAAATTGAATAAAAAAAAATACTATAAAAATTGTGTAAATATTTAGATACGTATTATGTGAATGTTTTTATTTTTTTCTTCTCATTTAGATATAGCATACTTGTATGTGTAAGAATAGAAACGTGAAAGCAAAAGATAACTAGAACAACAACAACCAAAAACAAATTTATTTATAATATTATTGGTAAATACCAAATTCATATTTGGCATTATTGAGATTATTTACTAGTAAAATATGTACATACATCTATATGCATGTATGTATATATGTAGTTAAATATAGAACTACTCATATGTATCGATATAAATGAATGAATGGATGTATGTAAACAGCTCCCTAGGCTAAGCATATCTGTGTGTATGCGCATGTGTTTTTTTTTTGTGTGTGTATGTCCTAAAGGTAAACGTATTGTTTCTAATATAATTTAATCGAATTATTATGTAAAATGCTTTTATCTTTATGAAACAAATATACACACATATATATTAAATTCAAACTTACATACAAATGGAAATGGAACACATGTTCATTTGGAAGTTTGAACTAAATATGAAAAAAATAAAAATAAATAAAAATGAATTCATTTGTGTTAAACGTATTACTCTTAACTAAATTTAATTTTTTATACCAGAAATTTGAAATTTCTTTTCGAAATCAAAATGTATAGTTTAATATTTAAGTTTGTAAAAAAGTTAGCAGTGATGGACCAGATTCCATAAACGTGATTTTATTATTAATTTTTTTTCTTTAATTTGAAATTAAAAAAAAAAAAATTGTGTTGGCCACACTACAATGTTAGATTTTAATATTATATATTTTTATTAAATTCTTAATTTGTATTTTCCATTAATTTTTAATTATTGCCTAAGTTTAATATTAAAAACTAATTCCCAATCTCCCACATTAATATACCAAAGAAAATCGGAAATAAATACTACACAAAAAATAGTCATAACAACTTTAGAATATTTAACTGATAGTCGTAATGCTTGTAAATAAATATGAGATTTTCTCATTTGAAAAAAAGTAAATATTTATATTATAAAGTAAATGTAAGTAAATAAATACAAAGTGTTTTTATTTATTTAAATTCCAAGACCACCAATAACTAAAGGCAACACAAGCCCACAATTCTCGATACTCTTAAATCATATTAAAAAAAAACAACAACAACAACAACAATTTAAATGCATATTACAAAGAAGGAGAATATTTAAGCACATTAACATTACAATCTCCCACGCATACACTTTATACATTTATATATACACCAATGAGTATAATTATATACATTTTTTGTGTTTGTTTACAATATATATAAAAAACAAATGACATAAATGCCTCAAAAAAGGCCACTGTGAATATAATAAATCTATAAAACCAGAATAAAAAACAGAACAAAAAATTGCCAATATTAATTAAAAATTATTATACTAGGAAATTTATATAAATACAATATACATACATAAATTGATATTATCAAAGAATGCTATTTCGAAGGCATACCAATTTATTTACTCACATTTAAAACGGGGAAAACGACTCGCAGCAAATATTTTGAAGAGAAAAATTCTGCACAGAAAACAACAAACACAAATAAGTGTGGCATTTAATTCGCAGAATATTTAATAAAAGTTTTAAAACTTTATTGAGAAAGCAAAGAAACAAAAATAAACATAAAATAGTAAATTAAATTAAAAATTGCATTATTAAAAAATAAGTAAAAAGTGAAATTACGCAAAAATTAAAGCATTCCAGAATACTAAGAAATCTGTCATAAGGGGAACTCCAGTAGGAAAAATCATAGAAAGCACAAAATGTCTTGAGAAAGGCCAATGGTCCTCTCTGCGGTATGATATTTACCTTACGATCTACAAGTTCCACAAACAATATATTCTCTATTACACTAATACCTTGATTTGTATCGTTAATGGAAGCCAACAAAATACGACACTATGCGAAACTAAAAACACTTTCTCACACACATACGTATTTGTAGAAAGAATTGTTAAATTCGAAACAATAATATTTCTTCTTACACACATTTTACAACAGTTTTATACCCTACACCACAAGGTGGTCAGGTGGTCATTATGTCTTCGTGCATTTGTTTGTAACAGGCTAAAGGTAACAAAATAGACCCATTGTTCCTTTTAATGATCTGCATGGAATCACATTCTGCGTCAATTTATACATTTCCGTCCGTCTGTTCATGTATTTTTGTAAATATAATACAGATTGCATTTATTTGCCGATTGAGATGAAATTTTGCACAAATCATTTGTTTGGCCCAAGAACGAACCCTACTGAAATTGCTGAGTTTTAATATAGCTCCCATATATATCTTCAACCGATTTCGGGTTAATTGTGCACCAAACGGCCAATATCACCCCAAATGATCTGAATTTGGCACATCCGACCGAATTTATCCTGAAGCAAGTGCATCAAATTTGGAAAACCGAACATCCGACCGAATTTATCCTGAAGTAAGTGCATCAAATTTGGACAACCGGTTAGATTCCCTCACATGCATAAAATACACTCCACAACAATGATATTTAATACCGGGCATCGGATACTGCTTGAAAATACCTCTGCCAAATTTCATCGACGTCGGTTCAGATTTTTATATAGCTTCGATATACATTTTTATCCGATTTTACGGTTATTGCTCACCATATATGTAACATCAGTCCAAATTGAATAGATTTTTGGGTGTTCAATCGAATTTTACCATTCTGTGAAACTCGGCCCGGTATATCTGTTGCTCCAATGAATATTTTTATACCCTCCACCATAGTATGGAGGGTATATTAAGTTTCTATTTCCGTTTGTAACAACTCGAATATACATTTTAGACCTCACGACTTTTGGTGTTGAAAATGGACCATTTAGGTTCACGTTTTATATAGTCCCAATATAACGGTACCTTCCGTTGTTCGGTATGTTGATGATTTTCGCGACATTATTCACCGGAATTGTTTCAAATTCAGTATTTGCAGCTCGTAATAGATACTACAGCATATGACAGGAGATTGTCTGTGCAGGTCAGAATTGTTTCAAATTTGGTATTTGAAGTTCGAAATAGATACTACAGCCTAAGACGAAAAATTGTCTGTGCAGGTTCACGTCTTCGTATGGCCCCCATAGAACGGTACTTCCCGATATTCGGTACTTTGTTGATTTGAGCGACATTATTCACCGGAATTGTTTCAAATGTGGTATTTGCAGCTCGTAATGGATACTACAGCATATGACAGGAGATTGTCTGTGCAGGTCCACGTCTTCGTGTAGCCCCCATATATTGGTACCTCCTGATATTCGGTATTTACATGATTTTAGCGACATTATTCACCGGAATTGTTTCAAATTTGGTATTTGAAGTTCGAAATTGATACTACAGCCTAATACAAGAAATTGTCTGTGCAGGTCCACGTCTTCGTATAGCCCCCATGCAACAGTACCTCCCGATATTCGGTATTTTCATGATTTTAGTGGCCTTATCAATAGAATTGTTTCAAATTTGGTACTTAAAGTTCGTAATGAATACTACAACCTATGATAGATAGCCTCCATATAACGGTACTTCCCATATTTGGTATTTTCAAATTTGGTAAAAGTTCGTAATGGATACTGCAGCATAGGGAGACAATTATTGTTGATTGATGATTTTAGCTACATTATTCATCGATTTCAAGTTTCGCATTTGAATATTGTAATGTCTTATAACTAAAGTTGTCTATACAGGCCCACGTCGTCGTTTAGACTCTAATACAGGGTTGCCCATATTCGACGGACCCATCTAGCAACGCCATAACTTTTGACAGAGATGTCACATCGCTTAATGACATACCGCGTTTGAAGCGTCAGTCCAAGCAGATTTTTACCATGAACCAATACACGCCGCACGAGCGCTATGAAATAGTTGAAATTTACATTCAACAGAAGAAGTCAATTGTGAAAAATCAACGTGCTTTTAAAACATTAAAAAATGTGATGAGAAGTGCGCCTTCTAAGAACACCATTAAGCGTTTATACGAAAATTTTTCGAATGGTAAGGCTCTTTCTAATCCGAAGAGGCCATATAAAAGTCGACCAAGGCGATCGACCGAGAATATCACTGCCGTAGGAGCCAGTGTTGAGAGGTCCCCAAGAACATCCCAAAAACGCCGTTCTCAGCAGTTGGGCATGGCTCGGCCCACTTTACAACGGATTATTCGCATTGATTTGCATTTGTTCCCGTACAAAATTCAATTGACGCAAAGAATGTTGCCTGCGGACAAGCCTCGTCGATTGGAATGGGCCCAAAAAAAAAACATGGGTCCGTCGAATATGGGCAACCCTGTATGACGGCTACATTTGGTGTTTTTGACGGATTTTATTTATTTATTTATTTATTTTTTTTTTTTGAAAATTGCCAAATTCGTTCCATATGGAGGGTATTCAAAGTTCGGCCTGGTCGAACTTACAGCTTTTTTACTTGTTTAATATAATCTTTATCGAATTCATATCATGCACTATATAGCAATGTTATTTGGTTCATGGTATGGTTCCCAATATATATTTTTTTGGTAAGTGAGCTCTGCCAAATACGAATAGTGGTGAAGGATTCAAGGATTGTCATCTACCAAATCTTCTAAAACACCAAATATGAAACAATTTCGTGACTAAATGTGACTAGGATTATCAAAATACCGAATATCGGTGGGTAGCCTTATATGTGCGCCACCGGAACCAGAACCCATTATAA